TTTCTAACTTCCTCAGTAAATACTTTCAACTTTTCTTTAGGTCGCAATAACATCCTCACAATGCCTTTAAGATAACCATGGCAGAACAGTATGCATAGCCCACTGCCCTTGCAGCTCGTCTTCAAATGAATATTCATAACTGAAGGGCAACCAAATAGTGGATCCAGACCCAAACAAAACCACCCATGAAGAAATAACTCCCATAAATTGTAAGGTAACCCAAAGACAACATAAACTAGCTTAATCTAGTTTTGACCATCACAGGGCCAACTGAATTGGCTACCTGCTGCAAGAATATCATATCTGGTGCTTTCTCTGTAAAAATACTTTTTCTGGAAAAATGTGACATCTAATTCAGCCACAGAATTTCCTTCAGTTGTATACAAACAACACTCATGGTGTTGCAATGCACCCATGTCTGTAAATAATCCCATTTGTTGGATAAGTGTAAGACTATTTATTAAAGGAGCAACAACAAGCCATTTGCTCACTGATCAGCACTTTCCCCTTATGAGGGAAGGACAGAATTAACTCCTGCTCTTCTCCCAACTCTTCAACAGGCTTATTCCTCCAATTGTCTAGAAGCGATTATCTAGTTACGACGCATTGCAGCCTCGAGAAGAAAGAAATCAGTAAAGGGATTTTTACCCAACATTGGTAGATCTAGACACTCTCCCCATGCTCAGACCCAATATCTTTGTTACTGCCTATAACAACAAGAGATTCCAGATTAAATCAAAATCTGTTAATTCAACACAAAATCAATTCGCTTTACAATCAGTCCAAAGAAATCCTGGAAACTTCCTGCTCCTACTTGCCTGGTTATACTTTAACACCCCTTTTCCCCTACCATCCATCAAAATTAAGGAAGAACCTTGTCAAGAGACATCTAAACCAAAGTTAGCAGCAGAAGATTCAAACTGCTGCTCAGGACTTAAATCCATTGTGAACCTATATATATTGACGCTCTTCATATTTATACGACCCACAACAACATAAAGCATCAAATAGGAAACAATAAAAGTTTTACAAACCGGATCAGAATTTCAAGATATCATCTCTTATTATTTTACCCATCCCAGA